TTCTCACCAACTGAAGCTTCTTGAAACATTGAGAAACAAAAACCAAGACAACCTACTGCCCACTGGGTCTTCTCACTCACAACCTTGGCAGCCTGGAGAGCTTGTGCAGTCCTATAGGCCTGTGTGTGGAGGACATGCAGAAGAGGAAGAGAAGACCCTGTAGCAATGGGTTGAACTGGAACCTAGTAGACATCTGGCCCCGCTCCAATTCTTACCCTAGAGCCTTCTCATGACCCTGGAAATAAACAGTCAATCAAGTGTTCTTGTAGCTTGATTTATACAGCTGAGGGGGAGGGGGGGCAGTAGTTAAAATAATACTTTTCTGTACTGATTTCTTTCTTTGCAATTTTATTCTGTAACCTGTGAGGAACAGGAAATGTTCATCTGCAGTTGGGCTCACTCTACTGGCAGTTTTCAGGGTTGTTATATGTGACTGCTGGGAACCATTGAGGGTCTAGGCTCAGGTGGAGTTGGGAACAGGAAAGTGCCAGAAGGATCAGGCACCCAGAAGGTTGAGCACAGAGCATGCTGGAGAAACACATACCCACGCACACACACACACACATCTGGACAGGCATTTTGATTGGCAGTGATGTGGGGAGAAGGGTGTTCATCGAAGACCCACCTTCAAAATCACTTGCGAGCCTTCTTGACCTTCTTACAATCCAACAGAAACTGGAGATATATATATATATATATATATCGGGTTTTGATAATACCTTCCTGTGAAGAATAAGGTCCTCAAAAGCATCTTTTAGGATCCATTGAAAGAGGAAGCATTCTTGTTTACTTTGGGAAAAATGCAGAAAAATAGCACTAAAGTCCTCCTTTAGGAGCTGGAAATATTAGTTTTAAGAGCTGTGCTATAATGAACTCCTGCATGTCCAGGTAAGGTTCAAAGACAAGGCAAGCATCTTGAATAGGGCGTATGCCCTCTGTGAGTGGGGCACCTGGGGCAGTGTGCTAGTGCTCACAAGACCTTAGTGAGGGGTCAATAACAAGCAGGTCATGCAGGTGGAGGTGATATTGCCATGGGAGAACAGTGAGCTCTTGTTCTCCAAAAGCCAAAGGGCCGGGCCCTCCCTGGTGGCGCAGCGGGTTAAAGCACTGCACTAAGAAGCTTAAGCCACTTCCGCATGAGTTCGATCCCCGCCTGCCCCAGAGGAGATCCACATGGTGAGGCAGACCTCTCCTGACCCACCCGCTGCTCCCCTCAGCAGTGTACTTGTCGATCTGCCTGTTCTGTACCCCACTCTGTCTCTGGTGAATCCTCTCTGGTGAATCCTCTCACCCTCCACATCTCTGGCCTGTACCCCAGTTCTGTATGAATAAATAAATAAATCTTTAAAAAAAAAAAAAGAAAAGGCCAAAGGGCCAAGCAGGGGCAAGAAACACCACGTCCTGAAATAGGTGTGCAGAATAAAAGCAGATGTCTTTAAAAAGGGTGTATACTGGCCCTCCCTGGTGGCGCAGAGGGTTAAAGCACAGCACTGAGAAGCTAGAGCCACTTCTGCATGAGTTCGATTCCCGCCTGCCCCGGAGGTGACCACATGGCGTGGCAGACCTCTCCTGACCCGCCCGCTGCTCCCCTCAGCAGTGTACTTCGTAGATCTGCCTGTTCTGCTCCCCACTCTGTCTCTGGTGAAGCATCTCACCACCCCTGAGCCTCTGGCCTGTACCCCAGTTCTGTATGAATAAATAAATAAATCTTTAAAAAAAAAAAAAAGGTTGTATACTTTCTTCTTGAACTCCTGGGACTTGATAAGTTCATGATGAAAAACTAATAACAATAGATGGAACCTACTTCTCCAAATCAATTGCAGTGCCCTCTCCATTGTGGATATGGAAACTGACGTAGTTTAAACTGTCATATTTAAAGTGCTAGGTACACTCTGAGTTGGCAAAGGCCCTCTGCTCTTTTCCAATGAAATGACCATGCATAAGAGTCTGTTTATCAAAATGCATGAGTCACTTCTAGAGTGGTGGTTAATACTTTTTTTATTTCTTTTCCATACAGAAGACTAAAGCTGCATATACACATTCTAAAGAGGTTCATTACAAGCAGCACCTTATGAGTCATGATGACAGAAAACAGGGCTTTGTAAAGAACATAGAAGGGAATCTGGTGAGAGATGCAATGAAGACATCGGGGCTCCCCAAGAAACCAAATCAGGTTTCCATCCAAGAACTTACTGGTCGTGGTGGGAATATGATCCACCTGCACAAAGTGAGAATATGATCCACCTGCACAAAACAGGACCAAAAGTAACGCAGCTTTCTGCCTTTGATCTCTGCTAAGAGGTGCACACCTTTTCCTCCAAGGCACAGCAGACCTGCCCCAATTTATTTAAAATAAGTGCCTCTTTGGAAATTTTCCCGGGGCAAGATAATGGGTTGACTGCAAAGGGTCTCCAGATTCAGTTCCCATTTAAAAACCACCCAATAACATCTCCGATCTCCAAATAATCAGTGGCATGGACAACAGCACCCCAGTGAGTCCGTGGTGATTAGTCACAGGTTGGCATGTCTCATCAGTTTGAATCTGGGAGAGCTAATCTGGACCAGGAATCTGGAAAAGGCTGTTCGTCTAAATCATTCTGATCCACAGGTGGATTTTGATTGTTCTGCTCTTCTCCTCTTATCCATCTTCTGTTTCCATAGCAGCTAAAATCCCTGTAAAACAGAAGCATCTGGACCAAGCTCTGGTAAAGACCCCGGGGAAACGTCTCTGTGTGATGGCCATGAAAGGGGGAGATGGGGCTGAAATGCATCAGTATGAACTTCAGCAAGATGAGCAGAAAAGGGCTGGCTACAATGGTAGAGGGAGACAAAAGGACACAGAAGGAGAGGTAGAAAATGTGGGAAAAAATGAAATTAAAATCACAACGTTTAGGAGACTGTAAGAGGAAGGGAGAGCAAAGAACTGAAAGGGAACACATAAAAGGCAGCATATAATAGATATATGGAAGGGAAGAGTGGAGGGAAGCGACTGCAAGGGGCAGAGAATGAAGAGGACAAGGAATGGGCACAGACACCGAGACAGGAGGAGACCGCTAAGAGGGACAGGCTGGGTACCTGCTGACAGGAAGCAAAGCAAATCAAATCCGGATGATAAATATTCTGCGGATTCTAAAGTCATGGACCACCCTGGCGTCCACAGCAGTGGGGACTCAGCATTAAGCAGTGATGATGAATGGTGGCCACTGTGGACTGAGAAAGTCTGTCCGTTTGGACTATCCCTCCTTCAGATGTGCCTCGGGCCACGGTCCATCACTAATGAGCTCACGCATGGCTGAAGCCTCCTCCTAGGTTTTGAGCCAGTCCGTGTGTAAGGTCATTTCAAATTGAGAGATTGGCTGACGAGTGTAGCCCTCTGATCCTTTGCTCACAGTAGTAGCTTCAGGAGTGGCACATGGGACAGCTCGCAGGAACTCAGGCCAGGCACAGTAAAATTTCACGCCTACTCTGATAATCTCTATCAGGGCAAATTGTCAGTCTTAGAGATGGAATTTGGTAGTGAGAGCCCATTCATAGTCCTACACAGAATGATTGCTAACTGCTCCAGTAAGTGTACACTGTGAGGCATCTTCACATTCAGAAAGGGAGGCCAGTGCTGCTGTGGTGGACAGCCCACAGCTGCAGCCCCACGTGGGGATGTCTCCCATGGGGTGGATGGCCTGGTCCAAGGTCACAGCCTTCCTGGGACAGCGCAAATTCAGTGTGTGACTACCATGCTGGTACAAATGACTATCCCCTAACATCAGTAGAGGACACAGCTGATGGCCATGCAGCTTCAGAATGCCCCAGAAGCTCAGCTAGATGTTCAATGGAATTGCAGAACAACTCAACTTTGGCTGCCCAACCCTGCCGCCTTCCCTTCTCTTCCACAAGCTTAAGCCTAAGAGACCTCAGATAAATGTGTTGGATGCCAACCACCCTCGCAGGATCCTGATTTGCAAGCAAATGCCTACCTTTAGAATCCTTAACTTGCAGTATTCAGTAATATGCATACTTCATAACATGCATGCATACAAACATATTTACACCAGTATATTTCACGTTAACCAGAAATAAGCAGTGAGAAAAAGGGTCTTCATTCTTACATCTGCTCAAATGTTATCTTTTCAAAGTCCTCCCTTCCCCAAACCTCTTGTCCTTCTGCCAATGAATCAATGAATACTGCTCCATTTTCTCATTCTTATCAGCACCTTCTAAATGTATATTGCCATTTTTGTCATTTATCTTAAGAGAATGAGAGCAGGGACTTATCTGTGTTGGTTTATTATTATATCACCAGTACTTAAACGAGTACCTACACTACTTCAAAGCACTCAATAGATATTTTAGAAGAAATTAAATAATGTATTTGCCTAAAAGCTATTATAATGACTAATGGTATCTTGCCTTAAATTCTAAAGGTTTAATGTTAAATCCATGAAAATCCATGTTCAAAACAACACTTGGTCTTGTCTACAAAACATCTAGACATTTAGACATAGTCAATTTGCAATTTAATCACACACTAAGATGTTTGTTATCTAGGATTCATCAGAGCAAAACAGAAACAAAACCACAAAACAACCAATGTACTCACAACCAGATATTTGGCAAAACTGGAGAAGTACAGACTTGGAAATTTTCCTTTTAGGAATATGGCCATTCCAAGCTCTCATCCATCATTCTGTATTTGTATTTTCCAGCTTTTAAAACAACCAGATGAGCAATGCCACCAAAGCCGATTATTCTGTCATCAGACATGACAAGTCATGTTCACTCAGAACATTCTGCCAGCATTTCACTCAGACAGAACTGGGATTAATTTCTCAGGGCTGGAGAGAACCTCAAGTTTTCTGAAATTGTAGAGAATACCATCATGCTCTGCAGACTCATGCATATTCTCTTACTGGGGTATGAAATCTAGGACCCCACAGACTAACAATCTACGTGACCAACAATTGGACCTCCACTCTTGACACAACACACCAAACAGTTGTTCTTACCTTTGGGCGAGATGTGTCTCCAGGTAACCGTGGGCTCTGGTCTACCTGTTGCTATGCAGGTGAGGCTGATATTGTTCCCTTCATTAATGGAGATATCTGAAGAAATCTCTACAATTTTGGGAGACACTGTGGAGACAAAATGAGTAGAAAGAAAAATGAAGTAAAAATCCTGCTGGAATATTTTTTTTTTGGTCTTCAAATGGTAGCTGGCAGAACAGCCCAGTCACTGAAATATATAGACTGAGTGAGTAAGTGATGAGAAATTAGGAAAATTACCTTCAATATGAAAGAAATAGCTTACCTGGAACTTAACTTCTGTTTCCTCCCACAGAAACACAAAATCAGGGTGTCTCATTGGAATGTATTCTACTGCAAAACTACTCTCCTAGCCCCCACCCTCTTCCTATCTCCACTCTTAGCCCCACCCACCTCCAACACACATCTACAAGTGCAGTCAGAATCGTCTTTATATAATGCAGTTCTGATCAGAATATCTCAGCCTAAACACTTCCACATGCTACCTATCGCTTTCCTGATAATACCCCAGTAAACCAGGCTGTGCAGGACCAAGAACCAACCTGTTTTCATTAACAATTGGTGATTCAACCTCTACTTACCTCCGTGTCGTCTTTGACGTATGTCCTTTCCTGGAACACTCTCATTTACTCTAGAAGGCTCCTTGAGCAGCCCCTAGTACTCGCTGCCCTCCTGCCCACCTCAACTTATCCTGATCTCTGTGTCCCCAGAGTACATCATACATCTGAAGGGGAGTTAAGTGAACATCAGTCATCACACACTTGGTCTCCTTAGCTCTCTGTCCCCTAAATCACTCCTCCCAAGGGAGAGAGGAGCTCAATCCTATTGGTAAGTTTCAGTGCAGGGTCCCTCCCACTTCCTTCAGTCATTCATTTTTGAGACAGTTTTTCTGAGGAAGCCTACAATCTGCTGTGCTCCTCCCAGGCATGTTTCACAAAACAGCATTCTACAGACATGAGGGCGTCTTATAGCATAACCAACAGGTGTCTGCACCTGTTGCATTTAGGGTTCAGAATGAGAACTCATTGTTTGCACATCGCTAAGCCTAAATATCCACTATTACTTTTACCACTATTGAATGTGGCCTTTGGCTTTCAAATGATTATTCACTTGTTCTGTCTTCTAATTGGTTTGTAAAGTAAGGGTGTACTTTATTGGAACCCCCAAATTCCAATTCTTGGAACTTATCACTCTATGTTATTTGCTTAGCATCTTTCATCTGCTAGCCCATGAGCTTTTTTGATGGCTTGAGTCATGACTTGTTCAAACTCATAATGAAATCTCGAAATTATTTATAGGCTGGAATTTAATAGTTATTCAAATACACCACCTTCCCAACTGCTAATTGTTGGTAACAACTTCAGCATTGTATCATTAACACATATTATTTCAGACCAACTGATACTAGTTTCAGCACATTATTTCTTCCCATATCAGCTCTCTCAGTTTGTGTGTGTGTGTGTGTGCTGGGTTCTTTCCTTGAATGAACAATCCTCAGAATAATCACAGTGGGGCCTTCCAGGTAGCACAGGGGTTAAGTCTCAGCACTGTGAAGCTATCCATAGCCACTACAACAAGAGTTTGATCCCTGGTCAGGCAGCTAATCCCCATGGTGCCACAGACCTCTCCTGTCTCGCCCACTTCTCTCCTCAGCAGTGTATTTCAGTCAAATCCGGCTGTTCTGTTCCCCACTCTGTTGCTTGTGAAACCTTCCATCCCCGCACCCCTGGCCTACATCCTAAATCTTGTATTCATGAATAAATAAAATAAATCTTAAAAAAATGAATCACCACAGTGTGCAATTCCAGGCCACAATATTCACTCAATAAACAATGCCATCTGGACAGCTCATATCCCAGACAAGTTGTATATCAACATTATTTCCAGTACCAAGGCCAGAATGATATGCACCCCCCTCCCAGAAATCAAATTTGGTTAGAAATCTCAGTGTTGGTCTTTCTTTTAGTTAGTGTATTAATCACTCACTGCTGACTGTGTAAGATTTTCTCCATCATGAGAAGGCAGTGTCTTACAGAGATCTTTGCTTCATCTTCATTCCTGTCCCTACTTCTCTGATAGTGTTTTCCATATTTTTTCGACAACTCCTCTCAACAGGGGACACTCATTGGTAAGATTGTGTTTCACTTTTGTTCCTTTACCTCTGTAATGGTGGTTACTGAATATTTTTCTTCAATGATCTATAACTATTGGAATTGTTCAAGGCCTGGCTGAGTGATTACCAACCCCATAAGGCACTCCAGATGATCTGCAATTGGCTGTGACTTCTCTTTTTGGAAGATCCCATACCCTTCTTCAAAGGAAATAAAATAAATTATCTCATATTATATTTGCCCTTAGTTAAATAGCAGTTTAGTAAATAGTTGCTTTTAAAATAAATGCTTCTATACTACATTTAACTTATGTTTCTTCTATGCAATAAATTATCTGTGTATAAGAGAGTGAACAAAAGTCTTACTCATCTTTTTTTTTTCTGTTGTCTTGAATAGAAGGCCTTTCTAAAAGTAAGCACCAATTAATCATTTTTAGTTATACCCACACTGAGCTTCAGATAGAGAGGAAGTGTGTATGTGTGTGTGCATATGAATATGTGTTTATTTATATTCACGTTCACATATACTTACCTGAATTCTTACAAGGTATTTGATAGAAAAGAAATATGGAAGGCCAACATGGTGAGGACTGAGGAATGACCATTGTCTCTTTGATATGGGATTTCTAAGACATAAAATGGCAATTTATGGTAATATCATTTTCAAAGATAAACTGAATCTTATCAGAAAGATAATTGAGCAGTTCATGACTAAATGTGTCGACTGTGCTAAAGGGTCCAAATAATATCCGAATCCTCTTAATTCTTGAATCATTTAATCTTCACATATTTTATTCATAAAGTTTTATCTGGAGCATTCATTTCTTGTCCCATCACTCCTCCAAGCCACTTCTTTGCTTGGCCCCTGGTCCTACACATCCTTGGCACCCACACAGCCTTGCTTGCTTCCTGGAGGACAGGCTGCCTGCACAATGAAGTGTTGGCCTTGCAGACACTGCTTCAACTGTGCAGGTAAGTAATTTATTGATCTGTAAAGCACTCCAAGATGCTCTGCAAGGGATTATGTCACACCAACGTCATGTGATAAAATAAAAAATGATGGACTTTGTGAACACAGGGTGATTTAGGGTTTGTAGTTGGAAGTGTACTTAAAGTATATTTTAAGTGGAAATCAGGCTGGGTAATGAATTACTCTTGCTTTGGAAAGGCTTACTAGGAGTTCATTTTCCTGGCGTCTTAAATGATAGCTAATCTGCTAATCATACACTAGAGAACAATGGACAGCCCCCAAGTAGAATAGAAGGTGATTTGGGCCAGAACTGCCAGAACAGTATGTATATTAAATGAGACAATCACACCTCATGCTTGGAAGAATCATCTAGAATTGTCTCCCTAACACTTGGAAAGTGTCCAAAACAGCAGTATAAGTTGGAGAAATGCTTGCTGTCCTTTCAACCCTGCCTAAAAGTGCAGCTGGAAGATAGCAAACCATCCCTAGATGAATTTGAAAGGCAGATCATTTATCTCATAGATCTGAGGTGGTTTGACCAAAAGGTGCAATTCCAATTATCAGAACTAAATTGGCATCATGCCTGAGATGCTAGAGGATTAGAAATATCATTTTCGGCACCCCCCCCCCTTATGGCGCAACAGGTTACAGGGCAGCACTGCAAGCTAGCTGCAGCCACTTTAGTGTGAGTTCGATCCCCGGCCAGGGAGGTGACCCACAATGGCCCGCAGGCCTCTCCTGACCTGCTTGCTGCTGCCCTCAGCAGTGTACTCCATCAATCTCCCATTGTGATTCCCACTCTGTCTCTAGTGAATCCTCTCACCGCCCCTGCACCTCTGGCCTGCACCCCAGTTCTGTATGCATAAATAAATAAATCTTTTAAAAATATATTTTCTAGGTGGCAACTTATATGTTTATGTTGTTTACATGAATAGTTCTCCCTCTCCTAAACTGCCCGCTGCTCCCCTCAGTAGTGTCTTTCAGTCAATCTGTTTATTCTGTTTCCCACTCTGTCTCTGGTGAATCTTCTCACTCCCCACACACCTCTGGCCTGTATCTCAGTTATTGTATGAATAAAAAGTACACCTCTGAAAAAAAAAAGTCTGATTTTTGGGGGCCTGATGAATTTATAATCTGTTTGGGTAAATAGTGCATACAACCATCCCAGGAAGTTGAAGAATAAGTTAAAATTTGCCACAAAATTGCATGTGATTGAATGTTACATGAATGGAGCAAATATTAAACTCTGTGAGTTACAGGGAGGATCACAGCAAACAGGTGAACCAGACCAGCATCACCTTGGATACAGTCTAATTTAGATAGTTCAAAATCACATAGTGATTCAGGTTGTATGCAAATCTGTTTCAAGTGGGCAGAATTATTATTTTTTTTTAAAGATTTTATTTTATGTGTACATACAGAACTGGGTACAGGCCAGAGTCTCAGGAGCGGTGAGAGGCTTCACCAGAGACAGAGTGGGGAGCAGAACACACAGATCTACGAAGTACACTGCTGAGGGGAGCAGCGGGCGGTTAAGGAGAAGTCTGCCACGCCATGTGGTCACCTCCGGGGCAGGCGGGGATTGAACTCATGTGGAAGTGGCGTTAGCTTCTCAGTGCAGTGTTTTAACCTGCTGCACCACCAGGGAGGGCCTCAAGTGGGCAGAAGTATAAGGGAATAGATGAGAAGTCAGAAACCCATCAAGTATGTGAAGATACAAAGTCTACTTAGTATAAAAGTCAATATATTCTATGTCGTTTTTGAGATCCTGGTTCTATCTTGCTCAAATGCATAACCCTGACCAAATTATTTCACCTCTCTGTGCCTTGCTTTCCCCATCTATGCAATGGAGCTAATAATTGCCATGTGTTTCATTGGTTTCTCTTGAGGATTTAAAGTCTAAGACCATAAAATGCATTTAGAGACTTTCACAGCAATGTGAAATGTTCAATAACTGAGTTGTGATATGCTGTATGTCTGGCAAACACACAAATGATGTGTCAACCTAGA